TCGTTTCCCTCACCACCTATGAACATATCATAGGGATGGCCAAAGTGCACCTCTGAATCTAATTCTGAACCCAACTCTTACAGCTCCTTTGACCACCATTTTGCTAGCCTTAGAAAAGGGAGAGTTGCTTCAACTAGAACAGGGGTCAGCAATCTATGGCCCGCGGGCCGGACTTGGCCCGCCGAGGCCTTAGAACTGGCCTGTGGCTGGTCCTGCCACTGCCGCCGTGGGCATAATTTTGGAAGTCCCCACAGTGGTGGTGCAGATGCCATGGGGCCTTCCCAAGGCCCAACGGCAGCTGCGCAGCTGTTGTTGGGCCTTGGGAAGACCCCACCATGCCTGTGCATGCAAATTCGCATGGCGCATCTGCCGTAGGGCCTTCCCAAGCCACAGTTGGGCCTTGGGAAGGCCCCACTGCACCTGCGCCATGTGAATTCGCATGGGGCAGCTGCTGTGGGGCTTTCCAAAATGGCACTGGCAAGCATGTGTGCACCCGCCCGGCCCCCATGCCATTCCCCCTCCAATGGCCCCCCGGCAACAAAGGTTGCTGACCCCTGAACAAGAAGATTACTTCTATCATAGGGGAGAAAATGAATTGCAGTTGCAGTCATTGTTTGAAATAAGCAAGACATGAAAATGATTTTGTGTTCTCTCCTCTTTTTTTTAGCTCGGGGTACTTGTGATTCCTTCTTTCACTTCCACTTGATTGTATAACTCAGGTCTGATTATAAAATTAATTCCCATTAATTTCAGTGACACTACTCTAGGTAATACAAAGAATGGATTCAATGTAATAATAGTTGCTTTCTTTGACTTTGACGGGAATTCCTCAGAATCTTTTTCAGGTTCATGCCCAGATACTTTACTGCCTGATTCAAAGATAACTTGCTCTCCTATCCCAAACCTGACCACCTATGATGGAGGATGGCCTCTATCACTGTACTTGAGGGCAGCAGACTTGCTGAGAGGATGTAGTATAAGCTATATAAATCACAAAGCTCTCTCACACAAAATCTTGACACCTACATGGGCTGCTGCAATCTGCTTAATGATAGGACTTGGATTTCTTACTAATACCTCCCTCGTGCACTAGGTTACATGGTTATTAAGTACTATGTGTTACTAAGGATAGTTCATGAGGTTCTGTGTATTTTGTATTATCAGGGCTTTGTGAAAGTAGACTTACAATTTTGTTTTGCTGTAGTTATTGTGTGCTTTCAAGTAGTTTCTGACTTATAATGATTGTAAAGCAAACCTACCAGATGCTTTTTTGGGACTGAGAGCATATGACTTGCTGAGTAGGGAACTGAACCCTGATCTCCAGAATTGTAGTCTAATGCTCAAACCACTATGCCACACTGCCTAATATTTCTAAATTTATGTTTAAGAGTGGAATCATTATCAATCAAGAGTAGCTGATAGCTTTCATGGGGGGGGGGCGGAATCTACTTTGCATTGCATTTTCAATATTAAAGGCATTACCAAAGGTGCTGACCATTATACTTCAAATAAGATGAACACATTGCATAGTGAATTCACTGTCACACTTGGAAGACACCATTTGCAATGGTTGTCATCAGGACTTCCAACTCCTCACCATGACTACTACTATATCATTTAGTTTAGGATTTATCAGGTATGGATTGTGACACCCTACTTTGATTTAGTAACTTCAACAGAGAATTATACAAAAGGAGGATTCTACTACTAGGGGGAAAAAAATGCCTCCATTATCCATCAAAGCTAGTTGTTGTTGTTGTTTTGATCTCAGCTGTCTGTAAATTAACTGACCTTTGGCATAATGTGTGCGTGTGTGTGTTTACTCACCTAAAACCTTGTGGAACGTGTTGAGTTAAAATTCAGACAACATAAAGCATTGATTCAGACAAATTTCAGCACTTTGGTCCACTAGAGTTGAATGGAAAAAATATTAAGCACATGTGGTGTGCTTAATACAACAAAAGGGGTTCACAATTGCTTGACTTTGGTTATATGGTGACTATGCTATGCTTCTGAACAATAACACCTTTCAGTGGCAATTCCATTGAAGTATTTTCACTTCAACAGAAAACCAACTTCTTATATTTGATGTTCAGCTTTTAACATTACTAAGCCACTTTGAAAAGAGGAAAGGTTTCTCCTTCTTGCTTCTTCAAACATTGATGCACCCATGACACTTTTCAATGAAGAACCCTATTGATCTTCATCATGCATGAGAAGCAAGGTTTGGTCCATCTTTATTCCCATTCATCCATCTTCACCCTATATAGGAAAATAATCAAGGCATAGTGTTATGAGGGTGCATGGCAACAGCAGCTGCCATTAAATCAGTTCTTTCCTTTCGTGGGAAATGGATTTATGATTTCATTGCTTGTTTCTCCAGTAACTTTGCAGAACAAGCACTCCTTTGCTCAGTTCCTTTGTAGAAAGGGGGGGGGTATTTTGTAGTGCCAAAGCTAGCGAGGTGGAGAGAGAGAGGAGAGATTTCCAATGTTTACAATGGTAATGGATGTAAATTACTCCAGAGCACAATAAAGTACCTTGTAGTTGAAGTGCAGCTTTATTTGAGAAACTGTCTCGCCTGTCTTTTATTCCATCTGTTAGCAGCTGATGTACAAAGACTATGCATATGTGTTAATTCAAACAACTTAAGGTCACTTTCCCTGTCTTCTATAAATAAATCAAGGGGTTAGCATAGTTAGTGTTCTATGCTATGTGCTTCCCCTCAAATATGCACCCTGGAACAAATGCAGCTCTCAAAAGCTACAAGGAGTTGCACTCCAATGACTGCTGGATGCATGAATCCCACCCATACTTTACTCCAAAATATTTTATATGGGCTGCAAAATACCTAATCTGGAAATTGCATTTATTTAAAAGAATGGGATTTACACACAGGGAAAATGGTGTTAATTGTGTGAGTGCAATTAATGTGCCTTTCTTTTTCTTGTAATGTAAACAGCAGGTGCAGACTGGGTGGGGTGCAAGCAATATCAGCATCACAGGGTTGCCAAGGGAAATACATTCCTTTCTTTTGTGCTGTGATACAAGCAACACTCCATGGCCTGGCAGCTAGTTACAGCAGAAGGGAAGAACCAGTCATAAAAAACAGTCATGTCGTGGAGCCAAGGCCCATAAGGTTCAAAAACAGGACTTTTTTATTAGAAGGGTTAAAAAATATCATTCAGCGAAGTGCTTCCTCTGGGCTCAGAAACAATATATTGTTCTGGATGACTCTGCTATTATGAAAAATATTGGGGGCCTGAATAAATCCTCAATGAGCCCTTCGGGCCCATTAGCTTTACCAAACACCTGGAGATTAAAATGGTGTGAAGTGTGTGTGTGGTATTATTATACATGGAATGCTATATCTGTCATGAATTTTGAAATCATCTTGAGGTCATGGCTATCAAGACTGTCATTATAGGTGCCTACATTTTAAAATGTACACTTACACCAATGATATTTTACTGTTCTCATATGCTGTGCCTGTATTCTTATTGCAGACTATAGTTTAGCAGTTCATTACCCATGGACCTTTACTGACCACTGCCATATGCTGTACATAAACATCTAAGTACATCTACTAAATGTTGAAGAAACTTTATTTTATATTTCCCTGCTTGGCTTGTCCAGTTTATTTTTTTTTTTTACTACAGTTCATTTAACATAGAACACACGCTTAAATATGGCAGCAGCTCAACTCTGCTCAGTGCAGGTTTTTGCTACTGGGTGCTTAGTTTGAAGTTGTTTATATTTTCAATAATAAAGCCCTGGTCTTGTTGTGCAATTAATATAACTTTTGGGACTCACTTTCAACTTCTCCACATTAGACAAGTTGGAAAAGGTCTCTGTACCAGCATAGGGTCTGACTTTATGGGAAGGAATGTCATGGTTTCAAAATCTGAGTGCAGATTAGATGTAATGTATAGAGGCACAACTGCTTGTAGAGGAAACATGGACAACATATATTTGGAGCTTAAAAGTTGTTTTAAGACTACATCTCCCAGACTCCACTGGCTACCATCAGCAACATTTTTCTGCTGGTATACTTTAAAATAGCAACTTCCCTGGTTTTGATGATGAGTAGGCAGTAGCACAATTTTTTAAGCATATGCTTTATACACATCAAGACATCAGATTAGCGATGCAGCAAGAGAGATGGCTTGGGTCATTGAACAAGGAGTGATTTAACACAGTGATATGTCAGACTCACTATTTGACAAGTACCTCTACACCAGCAGTTCTCACAGTCAAGAACTCCTGGTGATATTGCTTTATCAGAGACTACCTTTCACTCACTTCTTTTGTTCACTCTTCTTCCAGTTCCTTCATCATGCTATTTTTCTGCCTATTCTCAGCATACTTAGTCTGGTTTAACCTGACAAAGTGTCACCTTCCTCTTGTGCATATCAAAGTCTTAGAGGTTGCTTTAAAATAACATGGAATACAGGCCTCATGTTGGAAATCTACATTTTATGGCTTTGAGCCTTTATTCAAAGAAATAAAAGTTTAAACTTGCATACAAGCCTTGTTTTAAGTAGTGGCAAATTATGTCCTAAAACTATTAATCCCAACCAGACTGGAGCCATTGATTCAGTGGGATTTACATAAATGTTGATTTATTCAGTCCTGATTCAATAGATCTACTCTAATTAGAAGTATTTGGATTGAGACCTATTCCTACAGGAAGCACGTGTTACTAATAATCCCTATGTGAAATCACTGAAATGACTTAGAATAGACTTTTCAATTTAAGAAGTCTCAACAGAAGTAACAGTAATGAGCCATTAAAGGACATAATTTCCAATCTATTGACTATCATAGATATAAGTGTACATAGACTGAAAGGTCATCCTTGCTAAGGAGCTCATTAAATAGCTCATCTACTCAATTATATTACATAACATCAGACCTAATCAAATACCACCACAAATACAGTACCTTATCAGGAGAAAATTGAACTCTTCTAATTTCACAGTTATGGGCCAAATTGGTCCATTTATTTGTTTATTGAAAAGTTTATATCTATTTCTCCCACAACTTATACACCATACAGGTCAGCTAATGATCATTAGATCTCCCACCATGACAATCCAAACACACAGAATCTAATATGCTTTTATTAGTTAAGCAGGGTTGTGACTGGTACATTTATGGAACACTTTCAGATAAGACCAAGGATCTCCAGGTAGGAATAAATAAAGCTGCTACTTGAAACCTGGGGAGTTTCCGCCAGTCAGAGTTGACAATGTTAATGCAGCTTCCCATGTCCCAAAACAAACAATAAAATACAACCATATTCCAAAAGAAGAATGACAATATAAAAAAAAAACTTTGTGTAATCAAAAATAACAAAATGCTGTCAACCAGGATGTTAACCTAGATTCCTGGGGAAAAGAAATTAATAATTTTGATGTATTCCCTGACAAGACATTTTTTTTAAATCCCTTTCCACCAAAGCTGGAACACACAAAAAAGGGCCTCTCCATCACACGGACCTGATGCATGGGAAAACTGTTGTGGGATGAGGCTCTCCCTAAAGCATTCTGGACTTAAGCCATTCAAACAATAATTACTACTCTGAATCACACCTGGAAACAAATTGATAATATGATGGACATCTGTATTCTTTGAAGCCAGCCATCACCCACCAACATTTGTAGTGTTCCATTCTGGAAAAATTGCAATTTACAAAAATTGTTTAGATGAGTCTTCTCATAACATTCATTACAGTAATCTAGATGTAATGAAGACATCAGTTTATGGCTTTAGGAATGGATACAACTGGCACATCATCCTGTGCTGAAGGAGTATACCCCTGGCTACAGCTACTACCAAAGCACACAGGACAAATACAACTTTGGGAGCAAGAAAGATATCACACCATCCAAAACAGAATGATTTCCTGATTCAAGAGGCTGTCAGAGTGTTGTATGGATTAAGGGGTGAAGCAGACAGGCGGCACGGGGCCACCCCAGGAAGCTACGCTGCAGGGCCAAGGTATCCGCACACCTCAACCCCGCAGTGCAGCTTCGCCGCCCCTGGAAGGAGCACTAAACTAGCACTCCTTCCACAAATCACCAAAGGTGCACCACAAAAGGCTGCTGGCGCACCTTCGGTGACTCTTCCACTGCAGGGTGTACAGACGCTGCAGCAGGAGGTCATCTTCAGAGCGCCGGCTGTGCAGAGGGCCGGCTGCTCCGATGACGTTTTGGGGAAGGAGTTGGGGCGCCCAGCATGTGGCTGCCCCTCCCCTTCCTTGCTTTGATGATGGTGCAAAGCATCATCTGCTTAGCCCCTAAGTCTCTATCAATTAGGTACCACAGAGTTTTGTCTCTGTGTTAGAAACAAGGTATCCAG